GTAGGACAGCCAAAATCACACACTCCAACCGAGAGCGCCCCGCCAAGGCTGAGAAACGCTGCTCCACACCCTGTGCTCTGCTCTCTGTCCCTTTCTGCTGCTTCTGTCTAAAGCCTCCTTCAGGAACATGATCACCACTTCTTCTATGTCCCCGTTTTGCAGATTCTGACGACGACGGGGAATCCGAGGCGGCCAAGCAGTTGATCCAGCCCATTGCCGAGAAGATCATTGCCAAATACAAAGCCAAAGACGAGGAGACTCCATTGCTGTTTTTTGTGGCCGGAGAGGTATGGGGAAGAGAAGAGAGGGAGAGGGCGGTATCAGACTGGCTGACATTCATGGCTTACGGGCAGCTGTTTCCAGGGGCTGCTTTGCCTCGAACTGGCAACTACAGGTGGTCCTCACTTAACGACCATTCATTTAACTACGGTTTGAAGTTACAACGGCCTCTGAAAAAGTGCTTTAGAACTGAACTCGCCCTTACAACAGTCACAAACTGTCGCCCCCCCCCACAGTCACATGATTGCGATTTGCGACCTTTTTTACAACGGTCATTAAGCGAATGATGTGGTTGTTAAGCGAATTCCAGCAAAAAACATCCATTGGGGAAGCTGGATTCACTTAACAACCACATGACTTGCTTAATGACCATTTTAAAAATGGTTGTAAAATTGGGTCCGGTCACGTGGTAACTCACTTAATGACCACCCCACTTAACAAAACAACCAATTTTCCAGTTCCTATTGTGGTCATTAAATGAGGACTACCTGTAGATTTGTTGGCCTGCCTTACCCCAGTTTTCACATCCTCCAGGTGTGGAGTTTTCTCCCAGAAGCCTCAGCAACAGCCACACCATCTAGGGAATGTTGGGAGCTGACGTCTATGTTTTGGGCGAACACCCAGTTCAGGGAAAACTCTCTCACTATGGCAGGATCAGCCAAGGGAGTTCTAGAGGTCTACCACTGAACTACAATACCCAGAATTCCATGGAGGGAAAACTGGTCTCCCATTGTAGTGTAGAAGAAGAAAGATCATAATCGTTTTGGATAGCATGGGGCAACCAGTGGCTGATGTTGAAAAATCAGAAAGGAGGGTTGGGCCTGGTTAGAACTTGGATGGGAGACCGCCCAGAGATTGCAGGGCCTTAGGGTAGACTGGGAAGAAAACCATAAAGCAGGGTTTCTCAACCTCGGCCGCTTTAAGATGGGTGGACTTCAACTCCCAGAATTCCTCCAGCCAGCATGAGGTTGAGAAACCCTGCCACAAGGGAAGACAGCCATGGGAAGCCACTTCCAAATATTGCCCACCAAATGACATGGCCCAGCCACAGACTTGCTAACAGAGTGGAACCATCCATTGTGGAAATAGACTGGGATGTAGCTCTGGGTCACGATCCAGCAAAGCCATGATGTTTGGGTAGAAACAGAGAACCTTTTGCCGGCCGGGTGCGAGGCAGCATTTTGGAGAGATTCTGCCGCGAGAGGATCCACGATCTTCCCGGGGTCGGGAACCGCGTCTGAGCTGGTGTTCCCTTTTTCGAGTGCCCTTCAGCCTCCTTCAGGGCTCGCCCTTTCCGTTCTGAGGGCCGTGCCTCTCCTTTTCAGCCGGGGGGGGCACACGTCAGCCAGGAAGGTCCTCCCTGCTGCCCGCCCCTGGCGTTGGGGGGCCGCTGAGCATTCAGCCTAAGATGTCGCCCAGTTGGGAATCGCGCAGCCTCCATCTCCGTTTAAGCAAATGCCCCCTAGCCCATCAGCCCTTCCCTGCCTGCCCGGGACCACCAACCCCGTTTCCCACTCCTCTGTCCTCCTCTTCCTCCCGCCAAATGCTTGGAGACCCCCCCAGCTGGCTTGCCTCCCCGCCTGCCCGCCTGCTCCCGAGATGCCTGAATGTGTCTGTTGTTGGCAAAATGAATTCTAAAACAAAAGACCCTCTGCGCCCCTTCTCCCCCCCACGCCATCCTTCTCCTCTCCCCTTCCAACCAACCCCGTGGCCTGGATGCCTTAAAAAACACAGCCCTCCATTCATTCGCCCCACCATCTGCTTGCCGGCTCGCTGACGGAGAGCTGAATGACCCATTCATCAACCCCGCTGCGCCGGCTCCTCGACGCTCCACCCAGCCCTCCTTCGCGCCAGCCCTGCGAGGGGAAGGGGGATCCGGCCAGGTGGCCGGCCACAAGGAAGAGGCCACTGCGTGGACTGGCGGGGCGGGCTCTTCTGTAGCGGGTGGGGTGGCCTTTGCAGCGCGTGGCCTTGAAGTGAAGGAACGAGGGAGCCGAAAAAATTAAGAGGAGGGTCTGGAGCAGAGGTGCAAACCTGTTAGCTAGGAAGGATGGGGGGCGTGGGGTCATCCTCCCCAGAAACCAGCAACACCCCCCATCTCTGGGGAATCAACACAAGGACCATACAAGGGTGCGGAGCAAGGAAATCCCTTGGGGGAAATTTACCAGGTTTTTTATCCTAGGCTCTTCCAGGTTGGGTTGGGAATAGAGGGAGGGGAATCAAGGCCCTGGATTTCTGGATTTTGTCACCCGTTCGGCCCCCGGTGCACATCTCGGGTCTCCATGCTGGAGTCTCGGGTGCATCGGAGCATCTGTTCCAAGCTGGGGGGAAATGATGGCAAGCCAATTTTGGAGCCCCCCCTTGACAGGTGCCCTGCCCTCTCACGGTTTGGAGCGCCAGGATTCGCACCCGCCATTTTGTAAGTGGGAGAGGAGCAGAGCAAGATGGACGGAGGTGGGTAGACGGCAGGCAGGACCCAGGCGAACCAGACAAAGCCGGGGGAAGATAATAAATTCGGCCATAAATTCTAGCAAGCCTCTTGCAGTTGGGAGTCTCGGTGAAAAGCCGCAGAAGGAAGCGAGGGCGAAGCGCCGGGGTGAGATTTATTTTTACTGACTTAAAATAAATCTAGGCTGCCTTTCCTGGCTTCAGAAGAGCTGACTGCAGAGAAGAACAATTCCACCGAAAAGCAAATTAAGGAAGGCCAGCGAGGACGGCCTGAAACGGAGGCCACAACCCCAAGTTCCCCAAAATTTTGTCAGGGCCCAAAACTGGAATGTGAGAAAAGGTCCAGACGAAGACCTGCATCTCAAGGCTCCTCCCAAATATTGGCACTAACGGGGCGTGGCAAACTAGGGGTTAGTGGAGGGTGTTCCGGGGGGCCTAGACAAAAGGCTCCCTCCTTGGTGGGTGCCAACTTGCCGGGGGAGCGAACATTGTGGCCAACCTTCAGACGAGCGGGAAAGGATGAAGGGAGACGCACCTCGCAAGGGTGTCGTGAGAGTCTAATGTTGGGATTGCAGAGCACACATAGAAGACCCTGTAGCATCTGTCTACCATCTCTCTCTCTCTCTCTCTCCTATCTCTGTCTATCAATCATCTATCATCTATCATCTATCTGTATCTATCTATCTATCTATCTATCTATCTATCTATCTATCTATCTATC